CGGCAGCCGGGCGGGCAGGGCGGACGCGGATCCAGCCCGTGCCCGCGTCGGGAAGGCAGCGATTGCCCGGGAAGTGTTTTGCCCGCTCCCCATCCCCACCTGTAACTAGTCTGGATGTGAAACTGCAGGTATTTAACGCGTAACTTCCATGGACGCTTGCATTCCGTTTACATCCATCGACCGTTCGCCACACACGTCGTGCTTCTCACTCTGTTCAGTACAAAACTCCAGCATCTCCACCTCCAGGAGATCCCAGCACTCCCTCAGATGAGATTCTAACACAGACGGGCAGAAACCCATGCAAATATATACTAGTACAAACGAATAGATAAAACACTTTGGCAGAGACTGTATTGCTACTTAACAAATTGCTGGTAATGCAAAAGTAATTTACTGCCTTCAGCAACACCACAGGCTGATACCAAAACACACACGACACTGAATACATGTAAATCAACAGATGCACTGTTTACTAAATACTATCTAATTTCCAGTTCTTTTTAGAGCCCCCCTTGCACAAAGAAACCTGCCAAACATGAATTAAAATACAGGTCCACTCATTTTAAATCCCAGATTACTTCTTTGTAACCACTAACACAATTAGATTTTTGTAAAGTGTTGATTGTGAGTGAACATGTTTCAAACGCCAGCACAGCCTTTGAAATCTGCTCTGACTGTAAGAAGTATGCATGTGTAAACCTACTGATACAAAGAAGAAAAAGACTTTATTTTATTCGTTGCTCTGTTCTGTGGGAATAGGGAGCCCTACATTTCCCAAGCTGACCTAAAGAATTCCTGTCAGTACCTGTGGCTGCCAAACATATGCACTATGATGCAATTTTTATAACAGGAAAGGTCCTTTACACATTTTTTGCACACATAGTGCACTCGGTTCAGGAAATACAGACCTGTGGAACAAACATGCTCTCTAGAGTGTTCTGTCAGCATGTGTAATTCTGGTCAGATGTTAACCTTGCTGAATATAACAAAATACATTACTTTAAATACACACACACATACATACACTTGATTTACATTTTTATAGCTTATATATCCCGACTTTGCAGTGTCTTTGCTGCCAGTATGCACACAGATAAAAGAAAACATTAATGTGGATTAAGGTACTAAGAATTTATCAACATCAAACCACCAGTGTTTTGCCTTCTACCCTTCTGAACCGTAGTCAATAGATCTAAATATTTTACTGCACCCTGGCCAATTCATTGTTTGATGTTTAAAAACTCACCCAGAATCAAAGAAAATTTATTAAATTTCAGCCCCCAAATGAGATACTATTAGCTTTGAAAGTCAAGTTTAACTGCGATATTGATGATTCTCTTTTTTCTGTGACAAAATTCACAGGGGAAATCCCTATGTCAAAGTACAAAAGCAGATTGCTAATACTAGTGGGAAAAAAACAATGTATAAGCAATGTAGGTATAATACACATACAATACAGACTTCGGAAGTCCTTTTAACCCTGTTAGTTTCAAACTCTCCATTTTAGTACTGGGGCCTCACACTCACTGAACAATAAAATACAAAAGCCATTTTTGAAAATGGCTGAATTATAGTGAATATATGCCATTAATACCACCACACCAGAATAGTACTAGCTCCTTAAAGAGTATGAAATCTGATATGAAGATTCACAACTTAAAAACAAGAACAACAACAACAAAAAAAAACACCCAAACCCTTCCTGTGCTCATAAATGCTTAGATCATAAATATCTAAGTAAAAATGTGCATTACGCTGCAAAACAGAAAACAAAGCTAAAGTTCTCATTTGAAAAATACAAGCGTTCAGGAAAAGTTTTAAGAGCGAAAGACTGGGTATATATTTACAAAGATCATTACATTTTTTCACTAAAAGTGAAAAACAAATCAGTTACATATTCAAGAAATGGAAAACTACAATGGCCATGCCTGCATGGAATCCCACTGGATAGGCTGCACCTATATGAGGTAAGAACCAGTTTTATCACTTCCTCGCTATTTGCTTTTTGAAATACGGAAAGATAATGGCAGGAGTTGGGAGACTGTGATTATTTCCTCATTCTCTAAAGAAGTAAGTACAGTACTCATAAACACATTACAGAACTATCAGGCAGAAGTAAAACTGGTCATTTTAAAAAAAAAAATCAGTTTTTTGGCAGCTTGACACAGAGGAAAACCATCCTATGCAGTTAAGATTTACAATGCTAGTTGCAAAGGTTTTTTTTGTATTTATTTTTGTATTTGGTTTTTCCCCACATGAAATCTAAAGCAAAACTGCTTTACTTGAGAAGTCTTCTTAGGCTAGAGACCTAATGCTATAACCTAAGAAACCTAATCAGCTAATCAGGTTTATTGCAATGATTTAAAATGTTTAAAACCAGTTCCACTCCCCTACACTCAAAAATCAACAGAAAGGAGAACTATATTAATGTATCTATACCCAACGCTAGTGAAGATTTTGCTATTTCTGCTATTTTGCTAAACTTAGTTTTGTCTGAGACGATGAAAAGTTTCAAGCTATTTTATATGGAGCATAGTTAGTACTGCAACTGTGGGTTGCTAAGTACAATAATTAGATTTTTCAGATTAGGCTTATGTGAATACTGTCTGAAAACAGGCAAAATCACAAATGGATCCACAAAACTCTCTAAAATGTTCAAACCATTTTATAACAAAGAAGCATAGTGACTTATGACAATGTTTAACTTTTTAATTAATTAAAATAGCAACACAGAAGACAACACTATAGCTGCTCAACTTAAAATCAATGAAGTACTGATTAATTCAGATCAAAGCTGAAACTGAATGAAGTTATTAACTGAACCAAGGTATGGAGTTTGATGTACTAATTCTACATGTCCAAAAATTGTATTAAAAATTCTCTGCTGAGCAGAAACAACAATAATTTTGTCTACAATTCACTTCTGTGATCACTGTTCTGTTTTCCCCTATGCACAGTTTGAGCTGGTATGTCCAGTTTTGCCAACAGAGATGTGGTACTAAATGCTAGCAAACTGTGAAGGGTATTAAGATCTGCCTACCCCTCCCTAAAGTCTTTGCCCAGTTACTGTGTAACTGCTACAAGAAATATGAGGGTTTTGTTACTTATTTTGGGCCTAATTCAATGCTTTCTTAGGTCAAAAAGGAGAAGATTATTTATGGGTATGTAAGTCACTATGTAAAACTATATAGGAGAACATTTTATAAATTCAAATTTCACCAATTCTTCATAAAACCCAGTACCTAGAAAGCAGAAGATTTGGGGATTATTTACCTTTATTTCCTACTATTTTTAATCTATATGTCATCTATCTCAACTGCAATTTGAATTGTGGAAAAAAAACTAGAATAATGCAGTAATTTGGTCATCAGCAAATGACAAACAATTTAGTCTGCTGGACTTTGAGATGACCATATTGGTGAGATTACAGAAGCTACAAATGTTTTCTACCACACAAATGGTTGCTACCACACCGTTATGTATCCTCTGTGTGATACATAACTAAAAAAAAATGTTTTTACAACTTTTAAAAATAGAAGGAGGCAGCTTGAATGCAAATCAGATCTTAGTCTTAACCACAGTCTTTTAAATACGTGGCTGAATTAGCTGCATAACGTCCATATCTCCAGGGTAGAACACAGAATGGAGGCCATACTGCACAAATCAAAGACATGCGTGTCAACTGAACATGTTCCTTTGCCTTCTTTGATGACTGGAAGTAAGTTAGGTAGAAACTCATTTGAATGGGCAAGTCTTTGTTACAATGGCACAAATGATCATGAAACTAAGGAGAATAATAAAAAGCATATATATTGGTGGACAGAATTAAACTTTCATAAACACTTCCTAATTTTTAATG